CTCCACACTCCCCGCGTAGTTGTCCCTGGCCTGTCTTGCTTCAGTGTCGCGGAGGTTGTACGGCATCACCCAGGCTCCCCCGAGTGTCGCCCCGACTCATCCGAGTGGAGCACACGAGGATGCATACCTGAGTTCAATTATCCCAGTCAGCCTTTTTGCATCTCCGGTGCGCCTCCTGCCGATGTCGACCTCCTCCGATGAATCGCATGTCGCCAGGGCCGTCAGGGGGAGGCGGAGCTGATGCCGTGCTCCATCTTATGCCTCCATGGCTTCCTGGGATGGATAAACCCCCTTGCCATCATGCGAGCTTTCGTAAGTGTGCAACTTCCCTCTCATCTGCGAGCTCAGAATATGTCGGTCGACTTCATTCCCTCCTGCGGCGAGACGTTCGTATTATGGTTGGTTAGCATCGATGGCACAAGTATTGCAGGAAGAGCTTGATCCCGACGCGCCACAGTTCGCCATGGAGGTCCCTCCGCCGCCAAAGGTCCCATGGAAGACAGTCGGCATGGTACAGCGCACAGCACACAAGGAAGGACAGACACAAGGTGACAAACCATCACGCCATGACCTCCATGTGTGTCTTGTTTGTTTTGTGTTTCAGGCGCTCCTGCTCTTCACGATGGGCACGACGCTGCTGCTGATGGGCACGGGGACGTTCTTCCGCACCGGCGTGAGTGCGGCGACCCCTTTGTTGGTGCTGGGGTCGATATGCTTCATCCCGGGGTCGTACTACACGTTCATGTTTATCCAGATCTTCAGGGGAGTGCCAGGGTACACCTACCTCGACATACCCAGCTATGACGACTGACGGGCGGGCTCTTGAGGACGGCTGATGGGTGGGAGGGGTCTCTTGGGAGGGCTTGTCCTTGTCTGTCTCTTTTTTCCTTCTTCTCTTGTGTGTGGTCGTCAGCGGCCGTCTTTTTCTGACTGTCTCTCTCGCTGACCTGTATCTGTGAGAGTGTTTGTGTGGAAGGATGTGGTGACCTCTGCTCAGTGTCTGAACGTCCCAGTTTGTCATCACTGTTGTCATCATTCAGCAGTAGCAATGTTGTCAATCATAGAGTGCGACAGCACTACGATCACGTCCCGACACCCACGCGCACACGCACTCAGACACACGCACATATACCGACACACAGACACACGGATAGACTTCACTCATGAGCAACAATCGGCATGTTCTCAGCTCATGGCCCATCAGTGTCTATCAGGGCTGAGTGAGAATGCCATCAACATCCACATCATGGTATCAATGTCATACACTACACGCCCTGCACCGAATGCACAAAGATGCATTCTGTCGTGTGTTCCCTGCACCCGGCCCACCTCACCCGGCAACCCACCCCATCCCATCCCCCTCCCCGCCCTCCCACCTATCTGTCTGTCTGGATCAATCAAACTCTCCTCATGGGGGCACTTAGAAGGCACACATTTCTCGTCTCCCACTGTAGTGATACTCTCAGCCAGCCAGCCAGGACCAAGTGAGTAAGGCATAGCATAGAGTCGGCAGGGTCGCACTGCCTGGACAAGGTTGTGTTTCTAGATGCGGGTGGGTTGTCAATACACAGCCGATGGGTTTGTGTGGCTTTGCCTCAACTGGTCTGTAGTCGAGGTCGCAGTGGATCGTGCCTCGTGACCACGAACCATCGGTACCTCCACAAGACCGGCAAAGGCAAAACAAGGCACAGCAGCAAATTAGATAAGCACATTCATGAGTGGCGGTGGCGAGCTCGAGAAATCGGCTGCATCCGTCACAGCACACCTCTCCCTCGCTCTCCCTCCCCTCTCTCTCTCTCTCTGTGTGTGTGTGTGATCACTGTCTAGCTGCATTTCTGTCGGTTGGTTCATCAAAATCAGCCGCTCTCGTACCAACCACGTCCGTACGCGTAGATAGGCATACAGCGGGCTGTCTGTGCCCATGCACACACATACTGGCAAACAATACCCTCTTCTCTTGACAGAAACAACCCCCCCCCACCCCAACCCCCCCCCATCTCCCTCTAGTCAGTCCCCTGCCCGCGCAAGAAAGTGCTGTACACCCCAGACCACAAGAGACAAGAGAAGGGAGGAGGACCGACAGGTTGTCAGCTGATGGATGGAGGAAACCCACAGGCGTACGCACATCCATCCATCCATCCGTTCAGGCCAGGTCAGTGCCAGGTCGGTATCGATCAAGTCAGTGCGGTTCTGTGTGTGTGTCGTGTCGAGTCAAGTCATGTGGTGGCCTCTCTGGCTCCCTGTCTGTCTGTCTGTCTCCCTGGAAAAACGGGTGTGAAAGGCCTCTTCACGCGCATACTTCTTTCATCACATCTGTTCACACAAGAGGGCACACGTGTCTCTCTAGAAGCGAATGTCCCCTTGTTGCCTCTCTTGTGGACCCGTAAAGTCCAGGTCACCTTCGAATGTGTCACTTCGTCCTTGTACGGCTGAAGCGGCGGATTCGATGCCGCCCATGACCTGCCGGGCCGACAGAGAGAGGCAGCCATCGCCAATCTCACCCCTGTACCAGCAGCAGCACCCGCAGCAACCAAAACGCCTATGTGTGTATGTAAGTGTCATCACCACAGCCGGTAGCAAGTAACAATTATGTAGAGGCAAAACCGCCCTCCCTCCCTCCCTCTCTCCGTCGGTCAGCTCTCGCGGCCGGCCACTGGTGTGGCGGCGGCACTGCGATCTATCACAGACACCCAGACACATCAGCCACACACGTCCACACCCAGGTAGATGATCGACACAAACCCTCCCCTGCTCCCTCCCCTCCCTCATCATCCCAATAGCTAGCAAAACAAACACCGCCTCCCTCCCTCCCTCCCTCCACTCTCCACGTCTCTTCGAGACCAGTAAGTCAGCCAGTGAGTGCTCTCAGCTCTCAGCTCTCTCCCACACATAACACACACGTAAGTTGCATGTCTGTCCATGATCAGGTCTTGCACAGCTCATTGAAGAACTCCAGGTTGAAGTAGTAACGGCGATTCGCCGTGTAGTGCGGGCCGTCATACGCACCAGCCGGCAGACCAACACCAACACCACCACCAGCACCAGCAGGAGGGCCAAAATTGTGGGGGGCGGTGGCGGGGTCGCCCTGGCTGTTGCTGCTGGTGTTGCCGTCGGCTGCTGCTGCTGCTGTTGGGGCAGTTGAGGTGTCGGGATTGGCGCCGCGGGGCTCCTGTGTGGTTTGTGTGGGGGCGGTGGGTGGGCCGTCGATGGGGACATCATAGACGATGAACCTGAGAGGAGCATGAGCAGCAGAGAGAGAGAGAGAGAGGGGTGCGTGCATGTTTCTGTCGATCGACGACAGTGTCTGTCTCGAGTCATCGCCCACCTGACGGGCTGCTGCCCCCAGAAGCGTTTGAGTTCGATGTTGCCCACGCCGGGCACCTTCACCGTCCGCCACCGAATCAGGTCGCAGTACATGCTGACATGCACACACACACGGTGATGCACAACAATTCCCATCCGCTGCCCCCTCTCCCATCCCGTCCCGACTCACACACCTGTAGAATGAGAAGGTGTACACGTGTTTGGTGTCGAAGAAGATCCGCGGGTCGCGACCCTCCTCCTCGCCCTCACCATCCCCAGCACCATCCCTCCGTCCGTGGTGGGCCACCACGGGACGCCTCAGGTCCACATTGACACCAGCACCAGCACCATTGTCGTCGGCGTCTTGCTGCTCCTCGGCATACGAGTAGTGGTGGGGTGAGGGCGGCAGCGAGTGGATGTTGTTGTGATGGTGGTGGTGATGGTGGGGCTTCCTGTGCGCGAAGGGGTTGTGCCGCCGCCCCCGGGGCAGGAACCGCTCGCGGCGAGCGATGCGCGCCTCGTCACTCTCAGGGATGTCCTGAAGACACCCACCACACGAACACAGCAAACACACGAAATGACAGATGGGGAGGGGAGGTGGCCAAAATGGGGAGGTGTCGGATACCGACCTGTCCGAGTGTGGGCGGGGGTTGGTCGAGCGGCGTGGCGGCCATCCTGTCGGCGTAGAAGGCCAGTGGGTAGACGATGTGCGGGCACTCGAGGTCACACACGCCGTCTTGCGATGCCGGGCTCTCGTTGCCGAACGACCAGTGGAACAGACGACCAACGGGAAACGTCTTGACGAAGGCCAAAATCAGACGACTCAAACCTGACACAAACAAAGTCGGGCACTTCACTCAGGTGTGTCGGCCTGGTGTGGTGTAGAGTGCGTGCGCACCAGCCATGAGGAAGTCGAGGCTCATTTTCTTGTCGATTTCTCCGCCGAAGTAGACGATGCCCCTGGGCTGCTGCTTGAACCGGCCCTGCAGCTGGATCTCGAACATGCGCTGCCGGCCCCTGAAGTGGTACGCCCAGTAAGGGTCCAATGGGTCTGTCCGCACCAGCAGCAGAAAGCGACCCTGTGCACAGAGAGAGAGAGAGAGAGGCAATCCATCGGATGGGAAGGTCTGTATTGGGTGTGTGGCGGACTCACGGACCTTGAACCACTCATTCTCGAACTCGATGGGCACTCTGGCGTTGACGGGGCAATCGACCGGCCCCCCCGCCACAGCGAAGTTCCTCATCCTAATGTGAGGCAGCGACGGCGGCGCACTCATTGCCACCTTCCTAGTCACGGTGGAGGCCTCGCCCCCCTCCGCCACTGTGTGTGTCCGGCCGTGTGTGGGCGACTTGTCGGCCTCCTTGTCGTCGCCCTGCGACTCGCCCGACGAGCAAGACACCGCCACCGAGTTGTTGTCGGCCGTCGTGGGCGAGCTGCCGCCGGTGTCCTTGCTGTTGACCGAGACCGACAGACTCGCCGCCCTCTCGCCCTCTAAAGCTGAAATGAGACTCGACGGGGACCCACCGCTGTCGCCGCTCTCGTATTGGCTCAGCGGGCGGCCGGGGGAGTGGGGTGCGCTGTTGTTGATGTTGGCAGTGACGGACGGGGTGGGCAGATGGACCTGCAGATGGGGGCGGGAGGAGGTCGTGAACGGGCTCTCTGAGTCGCTGCTGAACTCACGAGCTGCATCCACACGCACACACAAGGTGGACCAGCACGTCCATTTGGGATCCGTTCCCTCCACTCCCCTGTAGGTACCCGGCGGCGAGTAGTCTCCCTTGATGGGTCGTGGTGAGGGTGACATACACGTGCGACTGGGAGGGGAAAATGCATCGCCGGTCGATCTCCTGATGCCCGACGCGGTGACAGGTGCGTGAGGTCGGCAGGGACGCCGCGCGCGTGGCGATGGCGAACCGAGCGACATCGGTGAGGACGATTCTAATGCCATTGTCGCGCAGGGGGAAGCGCAGGGAGAGGGAAAAACGCGAGCAGGAGAGAATTGCCGATTAGCTCGCACATGAAGGAAGAGGTGAAGGGCTTGGGGGTGTGAGTGCCTGTTTGATGCTCCTGTTCATAGCTGAAGTCACTGCGTGTACAAGCTGAGCGAGTCACGTACATGGCATGCATTGAAACACACACACGCACACACACACAAACACAGAGAGAGAGACAGAGTCAGAGTCAGTCGACGCTAGAGTCAGTCAGACGGGGGGAAAATCCAGCCGGTCGGCTGGGAATCTAATCCATCCCATCCCACTCACTCACCCACACGCCCCTCGTCCCCATCCATCCATCCATCCGTCCACCACACCGCCCGCAACCACCACAAATACGAAAAAGTCCACATCAGCCACACACACATCCCTCCCGAGTGTGCCGAACATGGGATGGAAGGACGGGGAGAGCAGTGCCGCGGAACAGATGGCTGTTGTCAGTGAGTCAGGCGGTCGTGGCGTTTGGTGCCTCTGCTGTCGGCTGCGTCGTGGCCTGGCCGTTGGCAGTGGCCACAGGCGCAGGCGCAGGCGCAGCGCTGGGTGCCGTGGGGACGGTTGGCACCGTGTATGTGGCTGTGGTGGCTGGGTATGCAGCAGCAGCGACGCCGGCTGGGACGGTTGTCTGTTGCTGGTGGCCGGCCACTTGTGCTGCAGCCGCCTGCTGCTGCTGCTGTTGCTGCCCCGCCATGCCGTACATGTCATACATGCCCGCCCACGCACCATAACCGCCCGCACCGTAACCAAAGCTCTGAACACACACACGCGCAACACGCAACACATCCATCTCTCCTGCCGTCCAGTTTGTCTCTCTCTCTCCTTCGGCTTACCGCGTATGGGTTGTATGTGTATGGATCGACCGGCGTCGCCGTGGTGCCAGTGGCTGTGGCCGCCCCACCGCCACCCGCCCCCGCCACCCCCACCCCTCCCACAGCGGCGGGCATCTGCCCCACCTGACCCCACGCCTGCGCGCTGCCCCTCATCGGCCCATACCCCATGGAGCCCATGGCAGCCATACCTGCCGCGGCGGGCATGCCTGCAGCCGCCATGCCGGCCATGGGTATGCCCCCCGCAGCGTAGGGCATGTAAGGCATCGTGCCGTAGGGCATGGCTGCTGCGCCGTACGGCATCATCATGGATGCGGTGGCGGGGCTGCTGTACGAGTAGTCGGTGTCGGGACGCTTGGGGATGCGCACGCCGCGGGAAATGAGATCGTGGATCTTGGAGTCGCGGTTGCTGCATTGCACATGAGATGAGTGAGAAGACGCCCATGGATCGGCCCCTGTGTGGTGTGTGTTGGGTTGCTTTGCTTGGTTACAGAGAGCGGGACGGCTGGTTTGAGAACTGCACGTCCAGCAACACGCCATTGAAATTGAAACCTGATGGCAAGGCAAGGCAAGGCAAGGCAAGATGGATGGATCGATGGACGGGACCAACGCACAGACACACACAATCAGCGCAATCAGCAAGGAAGCACACCCACTCTCCCGCGTATTGTATTGCTGCGCGTCTCATTGTCTGCGCCCAGGAGCTCACCGTTGAGTCCTTTGAGGGCCTTCTCCGCATCGCGGAGGTCGAAATACTGGACGAACTTCTCACTGACACATACACCCCACACGACACAACACAACTTTTACCTTACCACAGCCGTCCTTTCTATCTCCGCTTCTGCTGTGTGTGTGCGCTTACGCCTCTCTCTTTCTGTTGGGCGTGACTTTCTTGACGGCCCCGAAGGCGGTGAAGAGCTCCCGGTACTGCTCCACCGAGTTGATGTCGATGAAGTTGCGGTCCGCAGTGGCGGGACGCACAAACAATGTGCCCTGGAGACAGACAGCACAACACACACAGAGGAGATGTCGGTCGGTCGGTCGGTCGGTGTCCCAGGCTGACCTGGTTCTCCTCACGCCCCCCGTCAGGCCTTCCCGAAGAGAACTGCGCGTCTATCTGCACACATCACACACAGAGAGACAGACGACAAGCGAGGCAACACACGTGAGACAAGCAAGGTAGGAGTCAAAGGAGCACGAAGCAAGTCACTCCACTCATCCACTCACAAACACACGGGCAGACGGAATCGGGCGGTCAGGCATGGAGTGTCGTGCTCGGTGTCGTGTCTTGAGCTGGGCTGAGCTGTTCTCCTCCTGTCGATCGCCGTGTGTGCCCCCCACCGTGCCCTGCCCGTGTCATCAAGTACGTGCTGTGTCTGCCGTGCCGTGTGAGTGTTCCGCCATTCGACCCGTCAATTCACTCAGGCAGTGGACGTGCTCCGTGTTGTGTGTGTCGTGGGGTGTCGTGGCCGCTCGCTGTGGTGCTGTGCTGTGGTGTGCACAGTGAGTGCTACTTGACCTTCGATGTTGTTCAAGCAGCAAGGAAGGAAGAAAGGAACAAGGAGCGACTGCTCGACTTGACCCGACTCGACTCGACTCGACTCGATTGACGGCTGGGCTGTTCCGCTCCGTGGTGATGTCAGCTCAGCTCGCCACCCACAGCCACACGCATGCACCCTCTCCCCCCGGCAGATTCGCACATACCGATTTGCCGCCGAACTCCTTTGCCTTCAGACCCTTGCGGGCCTCCTCGGCTGCACGGAGGTCAAACTGAAGCATCGAACGCCACACACACAAACAACTTGGCATGGGTGCGTGTCTGTGTCTGTGTGTCTCTCTGCGTGTGTGAGGTGGCTTACGTATTCGATGAAGGCCATGCCTTTGGTCGAGATGTTGATGAAGTTCTTGATGTCGCCCCACTCCTCGGCGGCCTTCCTGATCTCCTCGTCGCTCACGTCACTCGGCATCTTGCTCAGACACACTACTCGAGTCACAAACGCCTCCTACACACACACACGCACACACACCCATCACACAAGCACACGTACGTGTCAACCAACGCCCCTCCCCGACCATATTGGGATCATCTGCAGGCACCACACACACACACGCGCAGACACAAGGAGCGTACACGTCATATCGGCGGATCCCCTTCCTCTCGCTCGTTGGGCCTTACCCCAGGTGAGTGGCTGCGATGGTGCAGCGGAGTCAGTCGTGCCGCCCGCAGCAGCATCTGCCGGGCGGTCATACGGACCTGTACGGTAGCTCATCACGAGTGTTTATTGCCTCCTTCCCTCTAGCCCTTCTCCCTCCCCTTTTTGCCAAGCTTGCAGCTGAGCTCGCATTCGACGGTGCCAAGAGAAATCGGCGGCGAAGAAGCGTTGTGTCGTTGTTGCGCGGCACGATGTCGCCTTCCGCCGGCGGATTCTGATCTGTCTCTGCGCGTTCCGACAGGCGGCGGATCTGTCTGTCGAGTGCTTCCATCCTCCCTCCCTGTAAGGTGAGTGGAGCAGGCATCTGCTGAGAGCGAGGCAGAGGCAGGCAATAGCTGACCAGGCGAGCACCCGGCAGCTTGTTCACTCGCGTGTTCAGCCAGCCAGCCAGCCAGCAAGGCTGACAGAAGATGCGATGCGTGTGTGATGGGCATGGTTCTTCATTCACGGCTGTCTTGTGATGATGTTGGTGTGTGTTCGTTCGGTCAGGAGTGCTGAGTGACTGAGTGAAGGAGTGTGTCGTCACGATGACGACGGCGTCCGACCTGAACAACCCCTTCAGTCGGGCGGAGCTCAAGCGGGTCAAGGAGATCCAGTTCGGGGTGCTCTCGCCGCAACAACTGGTACGCAAACACAGCCTGGAGCCTATTCCTCCTTGACTGACGTCTGTGCAATTGTTTTCTCTCTGATGGTGTCATTCGTTGATTCACTTCACTCACTGATGATTGGCTGGTTGCTTCATTCATTCAGCAAGCGATGTCGGTGTGCAAGGTGGAGCACGCCGAGATGTACGAGAAGGGTCTGCCGAAGCGTGGCGGCCTGCAGGACCCCCGCATGGGCACCATTGACTTCCGCGTGGCGTGTGAGACCTGCGGCATGAGCCAGTACGAGTGCCCAGGACACTTCGGCCACCTCGAGCTCGCCAAACCCATGTACCTCCCCGGTCAGTGACACACCCAACCACCGACCCACAGCACCCCATCCAAAACGCACCTTCTCTGCGTGTTGTGTCTGTCGGTGTCTGTGGGTGTCTGTCAGGGTACATCAAGACGGTGCTGAAGGTGCTGCGGTGCGTGTGCTACAGCTGCAGCCGTATCTTGGTCAACCACGGCGACGCCAAGGTCAAGCGAATCCTCAAAGGGCGGCTGGCGGGCCCCAAGTTCAACAAGGAGCGGCTCGCGTACGTCATGAAACTCGCCAACAGCGTCAAGAAGTGCGATTTCCAGGAGGACACGACAGAGGAGAACCAGGCGTCCGGGCTGCAGTCGGGCGGGTGCGGGAGCCGCCAGCCCAAGTACAGCCGCACGGGGGTGCAGATCGTGCTGGAGTGGAAAAAGGACGACAAAGACATGGAGGACGAACCGGACCCTGGCGACGACGAGGAACGGGTAAGCGAAGCGGGCCGGGCGTCCAAGGGGTGCGTGTGGTGTGGTGTGGTGTGAATGTCTGTGTGTGGGACTGGGTTGGTGTAGGACTCCAAGAGGAACCTCACTGCCGAGGAGGCGCACGCCATTCTGAAAAGGATATCGCCGTAAGCTGCCCAGATACACGCTTGGCGACCACCAAGGGCAAATACACCTGTGCTTCCATCTGTGTGTCAGTGAGGACATGGAGACGCTCGGCTTCGACCCCGTGCGGTCGCAGCCTGCCTGGATGATCTGCAGCATTCTCCCAATACCGCCGCCCGCCGTCAGGCCATCCGTCCTGGTCAGTCAGTCAGTCAACACAACACACCCAACGCACACACCACACACAACACACACACGCGTCCATCCATCCATCCATGCATCGTGTGTGTGTCTGCTGATGGTTCACACACAGTTTGGTGGGTCTGATCGGTCTGAGGATGACCTGACCAACAAGCTCAACGACATTGTCAAGATCAACGCTGTCGTCAAGAAACAGGAAAACAGCGGCGCACCCGTGCACATTGTCAATGGTGAGCTGAGCTCACCCTCCAGCACACGACACGGAGCGAGATAGAGGGAGGCATGTGCGTGTATGTGTTGCTGTGGTTGGTCTCAGAGTACGCCAAGACGCTGCAGTGGCACATCATCACGCTCATTGACAACGGCATCCCAGGCCTTCCTGTGGCCGCAACACGATCCAAGAAACCCATCAAGGTCACTCACTCCACCGCCACACGCGCCAACAAAGGCAGACCACATTCCCTTCTCTCGTGCATGCATCAGGCAATCCGAGCGCGTCTGAAGGGCAAGGAAGGCCGGCTCCGTGGCAACCTGATGGGCAAGCGCTGCGACTTTTCGGCGCGTACGGTCATCACGGGCGACCCTAACCTGGCCATCGACCAGGTGGGTGTGCCGCGGTCGATCGCCATGAACCTCACATTCCCCGAGACCGTCACCGCTCACAACATACATGAGCTCAAGGTCTGTCAGCACACACACAGACACACGGGGAGAAAGAGCCGAAGCGTTCACGTGTGTGTGTTGTGCAGCGGTTGGTGGCCAACGGCCCGAATGAGTGGCCCGGTGCGCGGTTCATCGTGAGGGACGACGGCACGAGATACGACCTCAGACACACCAGGGGGTCGGCGGAGCAGTCGCTGGAGTACGGCTACAAGGTGGAGCGGCACATGCGCGACGATGATCTGGTGCTATTCAACCGGCAGCCCTCACTGCACAAAATGTCCATCATGGGACACAGGTCCGTCTCCGTCTCCGTCCGTCCATCTGCCCACACAGCCATTGATGTGTGTGTGTGTGTGCGTGTGGATGGGTGTGTGGATGGCATGTTTGCAGGGTGAAGGTACTGCCGTACTCGACGTTCCGTCTCAATCTGTCCGTGACGCCGCCGTACAACGCCGATTTCGATGGCGATGAGATGAACATGCACCTGGCACAGACACATGAGACACGGTAGGTGGGCTGGGATGGGTGGCTGGGCACATCGATGTGTGGATGGATGGATTGATGTGCAGGAGTGAGATCAAGCACCTGATGCAGGTGCCCAGGCAGATCGTCTCCCCTCAGGGCAACAAACCCGTCATGGGCATCATTCAGGCACGCACGCCCTCACAGACCCACAGAGAGAGAGAAAGATAGAGACTGCTATATCATTTGTTCTCTGTGTCTCTACGTGTGCAGGATTCCTTGCTGGGCATCAGCAAGTTCACCCGGCGCGACACGTTCCTCGACAAGGCGATGCTCATGAACCTTCTCATGTGGCTGCCCGACTGGGACGGAAATATACCCACACCCGCCATACTCAAGTATACCCATAACACCCAAACACTCCCAATCCCATCCCAATCTGTGCGCGTGGTGGGTGCGGTGTATGGCGTCTGTGTGTGTGCCTGTTGTATGTGCAGGCCGGAGTGTCTGTGGACGGCCAAGCAGGTGATATCTCTGCTGCTGCAGGACGAGCGCATCAATCTGCAGCGGCCGGGCAACAGGGCCGGAGAGAAAGAAAACCCAAACTTCTCGGCGTCTGACGGACACGTACTCACTCACCCATCTGTCCGATGTGTCTGTGTACACAGACGACACCCGGCATTTTCTCCCTCTCTGTCTGTGTGTGTGTGTGTGTGTGTGTGGTGCAGGTGATCATCCGCAAGGGTGAGCATCTGGCCGGTGTGATCGACAAGCGCACGACCGGGTCGTCCAGCGGCAGTCTGGTGCACATCCTCTTCCACGAGTGCGGACCCGAAAAGACCAATTACTACCTCACATACGCCCAAAAGGTGCGTGAGGGCGCGCACACCCTCTCACCCTCACACCCCTCTGTCTCTCTCACTCACAATACACTGTGTGTGTGTGTGCAGGTGGTGAACTACTGGCTGCTGAACTACGGTTTCTCTGTCGGTGTGGCTGACATCATCCCTGCTGACACGACCGTACGCAAGTGCACGGCGTGCGACACATCCGGCTGCGCTGCGTGCATATGACATATACGATAGATGTGCACATGATGTGTGTGCTGTGTGGTCTGGTGTGGTGTGTGTGTGTAGGTGTCGTCTGTGGGTGAGGCGCTGAACAAGTCCAAGGAGGAGGTCAAGAAACTCGTCGGCGAGGCCCAGACCGGCAAACTCAAAACACAGCCCGGTACCCCCTCCCGCCTCCCCCTCCCTCCTCCCCCTCCCCCCCCACC